GGGTATTGGAGGCAGATCGCAGGCAGGGGAGTATAGTAAACTTCGAGGGCAAAGTTTAGTTTAAGTGGGGGAGAGTTGTAACACCCAAAGTTTTGAAGGCCAAGAAAGGAAAGAAAAACCCTAATTTTAAGGGTAGACTCGGCGAGTCCAAGGAGGGACTCGGCGCGTCCGAGCGGGATCCGGGTCGAGGAGTAAGCGACCGACTCGGCGAGTCGGCCAACTGGTCTGAATGAGGAAAACCCTAATCCCAGGAGTTGTATCCTATTTAAAGGGTGTTATGTCCCTCCCTCATCCCCCATATCACCCTAGAGAACCAGTACACCCTTGATTTCGTGTGAGCTTCCATCATTTCAGAGATATAACTTGGAGGAAGGAACTTTGGGAAAGGAACTTGAAGATCAAGAAGGTTGCTTCAAAGGAGGAAGTGTAGATCCGAGATCTACTTCAGTGGTGTTCATCTTGGAGGTAACAAGCTGCTATTTTCCCTTCTTTGCACCTAGATCTATGTGTGTATTTGGGCATTCATGGCATAAGAGTAACCTTTCGAGCTAGGGGTTCAGATCTGAGGTTGCTACCTCAGATCCATGCTTATTTTGATCTAAAACCCCGTAAAGTATCAGCCCTTCAGTGGATCATGGAGCCTCTTTGCCTTAAACCCTAGTTTATAGCATATTTTGCCTAGATCTCCTTCTCTACACGTAAAGTTTGCAACTTTACGTGGGGAATAGGCTTGGGAAGAGTAGATCTACAATTTGGAGTTCATGCATGACTCAAAAGTCCTCTGCATGTAATGAGATCTGCATGGACTTAGCGAGTCCTTTGAGTGGACTCGGCGAGTAGCATGAAGTTGTGGAGAAACTCGACGAGTGGGATGAACAACTCGTCGAGTCATATGAAGATTGCCTTGTACTCGGCGAGTCTATTCTTGGACTCGGCGAGTCAGGTTGCGAAACCCCCAAACCCTTAGAGTTGAGACTCGAATCAGTGAGTCGGGTGGAGACTCAGTGAGTTGGACAGGTCAGGACTCAGAAATCGGCAGACTCGGCGAGTCATGGGCTGACTCGGCGAGTCGAGTCGCGAATGGAAGGAATCTGATCATTTTGAACTCGATGAGTCAGTAGGGTGACTCAGCGAATAGGGTTGACCTGGAAGGTTGACTTTGACCAGGACTTTGACCTTGACCAGGGTTGACTTGGTTGTCTTTCGGGGGTCAGTTAGACTCAGTGTTGCATTGATATTGGTAGTTCGGGGAGCAAGGGGAGCAGGAGTTCAGTGAGTTATCGGGCAGCAGCTAGTGAGATCATCAGCAAGTTCAGCCAGTGCAGGTGAGTTTCCCTTTGTGTGAATGGGTCTAAGGCCACAATGTCGGCCCATGTAGTTATGAGTAGAAGACCCGGGGGTCAGCCCTAGGCACAATATGCTAGTATGATTTTCAGGACGAGGTCCAGTAATAGCGGGCGGGTGCCTAAGGATTTGTTTATATGATAGTTTATACTTGTTGTTTGTGTGATACATGTATGTGCCTGGTAGGGAGGTGAGTGTGGGCGAGGTCCCGTATCTCACCAATAGCAGAGTGTGGATGGGGTTCCACATCTCAATAGTCGCATAACAGGGGCGAGGCCCAAGTTAGGGAAGGATTAAGGGTGGGTTGGGCCTGTATCTCACTACCACTAGGAGCGTGGACGGGGTTTCATGACTCATCAGCAACAATACATGGCGAGGCCCAGGATAGGCGAGGCCTTAGGACAAAACCAGTTGTATGTGTTTAGTTATGTGTTGTGATATGTTTATGTTATATTAATTGTGCCCTGTGACAGGCGGGGCCTAAGTAAAACAGATCTGTATCCGAGCGGGGCTCGAAGCCAAGTGGGGCCTGGAGCGGCGGGGCCGTTGTAGCGAGCGAGGCGATAGCGGGCGTGGCCCAGTATGTGCAGTATGTGGTTATGCATGGTATGTGGTAGGGTGGGGAACTCACTAAGCTTCGTGCTTACGGTTTTCAGTTTTGGTTTTAGGTACTTCCGGTAGTGGAGGGAAGAGCTCGGGGTGATCGCATGGCATACACCATAGATTAGACAGCCTGGGAATGTTTACTCTGATAATGAACATGTGTTTTGAAAACTTATACTCATATTATGTTTTGGAATGATGACTTTACTTTGAGTAATGATTTATTAAAAGAAATTTTTGGTCTTAAATTTTGGGTCGTTACAAGTGAGTGAAATGATGTGTGTATGGAAGTATGTGTTGGTGCATGGAAGACCAACATATAACAATGAGGTGGCAATCCTAAAGTCAACTCCTCCCCCCTTTGTGTTGTTGGGCCGAGAAGAGGAGGAGAAAGATGAGAGATCGGGCCCTTTAATGCTTAAGCCCATATTATGATCCAATTAGGTGGTTTTCGGCCCAAAATAATTCAAGGAATGGTTTTTATGATTCATTAAGGCTATATAAATTTGTTGTGGCGCAATAAGGCCAATTAAAGTTAACCTAGTTCATTTTAGGCTTATAAGGCCCAAAATATTAAGTTTCATGTATATGGGTCCAGTTAGAGTCTGTTTAAGAGTTCTAAGTCCAAAATAGTCAAATTGGAAGCTTATTGACCCATTGGGCCCAATAAGGAAATCCTAGTCCAACATGGACTTAAACCGGGATTTTTAGGGTTTCAAATTCTTTGTTGACTATTTGTAGTGCTTGTATAAGGTGTTTGATTGAAGTTTTGTTGTTATTGAATAAGCATCATACATGCTTTCACATTTTTGGTTCACAAAGGTTGGCATAATTGTTGTTGTTACAAAACATCAAAATTCATGGTTGTGGCAATTTGAGAGGCTTGTAACCATTGTTTTTTTCTTCATGTTAGAGTGTTTAACAACCCCAATGCTCTCAACCCTTCCAACGAAATACACTTTTCAGTTACGATCCATCATCACTACCAGCTTACCGACCACAATTAGATCCATCAATTTACTCTCAAAACCAAATGATTGTAGGTGGTGTTGTAGCTACTATTCGCAATTCCAAATGTCACCACAACAAGTGTTTCCAATAGGGGTGATAGTGAATGACACAACATGACAAAAAATACACGACACAAAACAAATTAGGACGAAACTGAAATTTAAATTCGGTTTCGTGTTGTGACCATGTCAAGTGTAAAAAACACGACATCATATTGTGTCGTGTTCGTGTTAAAAATTCGACACGATTTAGCATTTGTTTGTCGTATTATGTAAGATTAAGTATTAATTTAAAATAAACTAATTGTTATTTTATGTTATCTTTTTCGTGTCGTGTTTTTCGTTTTTAATTGGTTCGTTTTCGTGTTACTTAAAAAAAACATGACATCGTGTCGTGTTGTGTTCGTGTTACATAAAACTTGTCGTGTCGTATCGTGTCAGACAAAAACACAACATGATGAACCAATTTGCTACTCCTAGTTTCCACCAAAGGCCAACCCATTTCCACAACAATTCAAATTTAGATTCCAATCCCAACCACCACATACAACACACCCAACAAACATCAAATCCAATTCCATTCCCAACCACCTAAAACACCCTCAATAGAAACTCGTTTTGATTCCGAACCCGAACAAGAAGCTCAACCACAAAGAAAATGAAGTGTTGAAAGTACAAGATGGGGTAAAAATGAAGAGGCAGAATTAACGAATCGCATGATCAATTTTGAATACGTGTTACAAAGCGGTTCTGTAATGGTCGAAGTCAAGATTATTGGACACGTGATGTATTTGACAAATTGAACCAACCTTCCCAATTTTAGTACAATGCATTTGTGCCTACTATATATTTTTAATTTTTTTTCATTTTAGTAATTTTATTATATATTATTATTAACTAAATAATAAATATTATATATAATTATTTAATATATTAATTCGGTGAGATTCGATTATTTATGGTTATTGGCAAATTAAAAACTCCACGTACCAAGAATTGTAGTTTTGAAAAATTAAAAAACACACCATTGGTTTCCATCTTATTTTCAATTTATTGATTTTGATTTATATTTTTTTCGATTATGTTTAGATATGGTTCAGTTTTTGCTCATCCTTAAAGGATGGTTCAATGTGTCACCTTTTTTTAGCCTACTATTAAAAACCAAATTGAAAAACTCGATTTTTGTCATAACGATCGATTGTGTTTGTTTTTTGTGATTTTAGTTTTTCTATGTATTAGTTTTTATTGTTTTCTTTTATAGTTTTTTTTGGTTGTCGATTTTCAAAAAAAACTAACAAGGTCACATTCAATGCTTTTCTTCATGACTTTTCACATATTCAGATTAGACCTTCACACGAAGACTGGTCTCGGACCGAACCCAAAAAAGGACCGAGAGTGACTGGACTATAACAAGACCAGACCATAAAAAAAGACCGGTCCTAAATAAGACTAGATTGAAAAAACACCTGCTCGAGACCGTCTCGGACCGATCCGAAAAAGATCGGACCATTTCGAAACCGATCCCAAAAAAGACCGGACCGTTCTGAGACCGGTCCGAGACCGAACGAGACCGCTTTGAAGAAAAAAACCGGTAACTAAACTTTATAATTATATCATTTTTTTTGTTAATTATATAACTTTTAATCACAAATTATCTAACTTATTTCATTTATTTTTTCTTTTATTAAACTTAAATTATCATTTTTAATAAATCTTAATTTATCATTTTGGTGTTAATCACATATTAGTTAATGAAAAAACTCGAAACCAAAACAAAAGAATAAAAAAAATACCGAAACTCTACAAAAAAACCCATAAATCGAACAGAAAAACACGCACAAAAAGACCTTGAGACCGGACCAAAAAAGACTAGTCCGAAAAAAAAAACCCGGATAGAAAAAAGCCTCACGGAGACCGGTCCAGAAACAACAGGACCATTCCGAAACCAACCTCAATAATTGGATTATTTCCAGAGCCAGGGGAAATAATAATAATAAAAAAAAACTAGTGTGAAAGTGGAAGTGGAAGCTCTACTTCAGATGGGCTAATTGTACTCCTAAGCGATTTTTGTCACTCACCCTAAGCCCAAAGAAAAAGCCTTCACAGGCACAATTCCACATACCACTAAAGCATCTCCTCATTTCGACTGTGAGCGCTTTTCTCCGTCTTCGGCCTCTATCGTCGACGTTAATTGTTGATTCGTTGATTCCACCATCTCTGGCCTGACACCGATTCCATCGTATGTAAGAACGCTTAACCTAATTTTTTGATTTCTTAAGTTTCTGACTTTCAATTGTATGAGTTTTGTCAAGTTACAGTGAGATTAGCAGCATTTGTGATTTTGAGCTTATTCAGTTTATTCAACCTCAAATCCTTCGTTTTCCAGATTTTCAGTTGTTTCTCTATTTCGACGATGACTACGAGTGTAGGAGACGAGTAGTGCAGTGCCGTCCTCCACTCCTCCGCCATCGTCCATTTCCAGCAGCTTTATCATGTATGTAAAATTTGTTTCTATGTTTCTGATTGAAACTTTGTATTTTAGCTAATTTAGAACTGTTATATGTGATAAATATATTGCATTAGCATCTTGTATGTATAAACAAAATAGAAGACATTACCAGCTATACATACATCTAAATCCTCAGGCTGGTTTGTGGATTGTAATATGGAAATCGATAGAAAAACAAGGAAAAGGACTTGTGAAAAGAACACAACGTAAGAACTGCACATATTATGCCCTAGAAACCTACCCTTCACGTTTGAAACTGAACCAAACCTAATTCAAATTAGGTTTTCTGGTTTGGTGTAGATTTATTTTCATTTTGTGGCTGTTTAATGGGAAACCTAGTTATATTTGCTCTATTCTCTGCTTCAAAAGACAAATCTCTCTCTGATTTTGGTTTCAATCCTGTTTCTTACTTGACATTTTCTGCGAATATCTTACATGTTAAACTGGTGAGGTTCTTGTTGCTTCTTCATCTAGTTATCAACGTTTTCTATACAAGTTAAGAGTCCATATCAATTTAAAAGTTGAAAGATAACTTGTTAAACATCCAAATTTTGAAGTGGGCCTCTTCCTTGTAGAATGTAAAGATTACATCTTATGTTGCTTTAGGCCTCTGAAGTAACAGTTTTAACAAATATATTCTGGGGCTATTTATGATTTTGGCATAACCCAAAACCTCACCAAGAAAACCATTTTCTTTTTCTTTTTGTAAGCAGCAATACTTTCAGTATGGTGGTTTAACATTAGGTACAAATCTACTTGAACTATGTTCATGCGAATGCCAATATATGAACTTGTATATATATGTTTCAATCTATTTGAAGCAATATCTTATCTCTATTTTTGCATTGAATTTGGTGTATAACTACTAAAGTACTCGATTTATTTATAAAAATGTCTATTTACATGTGTTTTATGATATACATTCTCAGAAAATTATAAAATTTGGGACTTGCACCCGAGATACCAAATGTTGGTTCCTCGCCAAATGCTGACTAGAGCCCTACATATCCGCCACATCAGACAATCCTCCACATCAGCAGCAGCTTTAATTAAAGATTATGATGAAACCCCACTGACATATCTTGAAGGCTTTCCTAAACCAGACCCTAAACACGCTGAGACCATTCACGCGTTGCCACGTGGACTCTCTGGGAAAAACATATCAGCCAAAGAACGCAAAGCTGGACGTGTCCCGAGTATTGTGTTTGAGCAAGAAGATGGACAACATGGAGGCAACAAAAGGCTGATTTCTGTTCAGAATAATCAAATCAAGAAACTTGTAAATCATCTTGGAACTTCTTATTTTCTTTCACGCCTCTTTGATCTTGAGGTGAGAGCTGATGTTGGAAGTGATGATGTTATTGAGAAAGTTCGTGTCTTGCCTCGATTGGTATGTTACATGATTTCGTAATTATTTGTTAAATGCAAGAAATAGTTTTTTTTTTTTTTTTTTTTTGAAATACACAATTAGATGAAAGTACATTGCTTTTTTTTTTTTCTTGGATTAAGACTATTTAGTAATGAAATGAAGATATGGATTTGTGGTTTATTTGGATTTCAGCTTCATCTTCATGCTGCTACAGATGCTGTGCTGAATGTGACATTTGTAAGAGCACCATCTCATGCTTTATTGAAGGTTGATGTTCCACTTGTGTTTATTGGAGATGATGTTTCCCCTGGGTTGAAAAAAGGTATGCACAATTTCAATATTTTTAAAAAATATAACAATACCTTCTTTTTGTACTAAAATCATATACAACAATGACATGAATTTGTAACAACTTTAACTTTTCATTTAGTCCCTAGGCCATCTAGTTTTATGACCCAACTGGTTAATCTTTTCAAATTACCATTTTGCCCTTGTCTCCTGATATCCCCACCACATTCAAGATTTTCTCACCCTTTTGATCTGATCACGGGTATGTGTTTTGTGAAATTGAATCTCAATATCATCAAAGCTTTGTGTTTTGTGTTTTTTTTTGTTGTTCTTATGAACTTTCTTGTAAATAGTTTTTTGTACTTTACAGTATATTGATTTTAAAGAGGCTTGCATATAAAGATTTCAAAGCATAACACTTAAAACTCTTATGATAAAACACACACTTCTACAAATTAACTTTCAAGGTACAACTACAAAACACTTTTATATAAAAAATACAGCTCACTCAAGTCATATCTAGATCACTTAAATTACAATACATATAGGTGTATACTTTTCAAGGACATTGTATTTAAAAAAAAAAAAAACTACTTAATTATAGCAAATGGCGACCTGCTATAATGGCAAACTTTTCAAATTCCAATTCCTGTTGTAATAAGAAAAGATGAAAGTAATTCTTACATAAATAATTTTATTATACCATGTTTTACACTTGAGTTTTGTCACTTTGTCCATCAACTTGTACAAAACTTCACTTTCAAAAGTACAATGTGTTGTGTCTTGTCATATCTTGTCAAACACAATATGTATGATAAGAATAATAATAATGGGTGTGTTTTGAAATTGAATGACGTGTAGGGTCTTATCTAAACATCATTAAAAGAACAGCAAAGTTCATATGTCCAGCGGATATTATCCCTCCATTTATCGAAGTGGATTTAAGCGAATTAGACGCGGGTCAGAAATTGGTGATGGGGGATCTCAAAGTTCATCCTGCTCTCAAGCTTGCTCGCTCTAAAGACGAACCCATTTGCAAGATTGCTGGTGCAAGGGCTTCTTTGGAACAGAAGAAGTCCAAATAATCACTACCATTTATTTTCTCAAGGTTTGCTTATTATTTCCATTCATTTCTAAAAACTAATCAACATGTTTTTTTTACCCTAAGATCATATTTTCTTTCTTTTTATTCAGGAAAGACAGTATGGATTTTGGTTCTAGTTTTCCTTCAACCCGAATAAAAGTTAAAATGGTGTTTTGTTGGCTTGTTTTTTAGTGTATGGAATTTTGTCACCCGATTTAAGTAGTGTTTTCAGGGATAGGTATTTTGTTGCATTAAACTTTTAATATAAAGTTAAGATAACTAGTCAAAGATTTCAAGATTATTTAGACTATATTTACATGGGACGTGACTAGATTTGACTTGATAAGCTTTTTATGACAATGATAATATATATTAGTGATGTTAAAAAATCCGAAACTAAATAATCGACCATAACCAAATGAGCTTTGGGTTATTTGGTTTGGTTGACAAAATAAAGATAGCTTTATATGGTTTGGTTTTGATATTTTAGGCTAACCAAATAACTCAAATGAAAAAATTGATATGTAGATTTATAATTAATTTTTGTATTCATGGAATATGATGTTAAAATATGATATAAGATGTGAAAATGGGTATTCAGTTTATTTTGCAAGTTGGCTAATGTAAAAACGCTACATAAGTTGTAAAAGTAGGTGTCAAATTTTATTTTGCAAGTTTGCTAGTGTTAGATGATTTTTTAATGCCAAACTAACTATTGTTATACCCGTTTGACCGATGTAAAAACAACTATTGTACACGTGTACTTTACTTATACCCATGATAGTAATGTATTTACTTATCCTTAAATAAAATAGCATTGTAGTTACACTTATACCAATAAGTGAAATTTTTTTCACCAAATGCCTTTGTAACTTGCCATTTCTTACCAATAATAACAAGCTACTTATATTTCTTTAGTTATAAGATCAATATGTAACAAATATGGTACATTATCTACATTGGTAATGTAACTTAAGTAAGTTTTTCTTATGGGTAGATATTATAAGTGATGATATCATGGGTAAATAACTAAAGTATGTTGCTATTATATATATATATATATATATATATATATATATATATATATATATATATATATATATATATATATATATATATATATATATATATATATGATAGAAGCCTGTTTGAGAGGGCTAGTCTCCCAAGAATCAGAGAAGAACACATAAGACTTGAAGCAATTTTCTCGATTATATTCCACTAATGACATTACAATGCAAATTAAATAAGAAATAATGCTAACAAAAACGGAAACGTGCCTTAAGACTAGGAAAACAGAAAGTGGTCTAACTACATGCAAATGCATAAAGAATCAGTCAAGAACTAGGGTTAGTTGATCTTTTTTATTAACGAAAACGAGCCGGAACTATGTCACTTGGGCCTTGTGTTGGACTCTTCAGGTGGAGTTGGGTTTGCTGCAGTTGGGCCCGTATCAATACCCCGCCCATGAGGATTGACCTTGTCCTCAAGGTCTGAAATCGTTGCTGCAATTAGGTGACAAGGAAATGGAAGAGTCCCCGTCAAGGTGATAGTGTTGTTATTCTGCTGGAAGGCGAGTGAAGACACGGAAAAGTTGGCTGTAATCAGACCTAAGGAACTTAACCAATCGAACCCAAGAACAACATCGAAGCCTTTAAATGGCAAAACAAACAACTTGACTGTAAATGAAGCTTCCTTAAGTGTGAGGGAAACATCCGGGCAATAGCTGGTGCAAAGGAGTGGTTCGCCATTGCCGATGAGGACCGGAAAGGCCGATGCGGTCTGGACCAGGAGGTGCAACTCAACAGCTATTCCAAGCTGAATTAGGTTGTGAGTGATGCTCGAATCAACAAGAATTTGAAGTGGTTTCTGGTTGACAAATCCCATGAGACGCAAGGCTGTAGTGGGTGTAATTCCATAAAATGTTGATGGGGAGAGAGTTACAAAGTGTGGAGTGTTTGGTGTCTCTTCCAGAACAGGGAAGTGTTGTTGTGCAGTAAGTTGAGGGGCTTCGTGTAACATCCCGAAATATCAAGAGTAGAGTTGAAGGGCTAAAAGAGTAAATTTTGAAGGGCAACTCGGTGAGTCCATGGATGGACTCGGTGAGTAGGGTCGCGACTTTGGTCGCGTGTCAAGTGGCCTACTCGGCGAGTCCAAAGATGGACTCGGCGAGTAGGTGCTGAGTGGAGAAAACCCTAAATCCGGGGAATGAGCCCTATTTAAAGAACATTATACCCTCTCCCCAGCCTCTTTGATCCCCCTTGAAGTCCAGAAACCCTAGAGAGCGTGATTGTGGAAGATTGGAGTGCATTTGGAGCTTGCGGAGGTGTTTGTTAAAGAAATCTTGAAGGAAAAGAGGCTTGGATCAAAGGGCTTTGTTTAGATTCGGATCTCTTGCTGTTGGAGGCTTCATTTTGAGGTAATATCTCGTTCTTGGGCTGTGTTCTTCTAGATTCTTCATTTTGGGGTTGTGTGGGAAGCTTAGATTTGTGGCATCTTGAGTTTGAAGGATAGATCTGAGGTTGCTACCTCAGATCTGGAGTGGAGAAGGTCTTTAGAGCATTAAAGTCACTATTCTTGTGTTATTGATGGAGCTATCTTGTCCCAAACCCCAAACCCTAGAGTAAAAATGCCTAGATCTTCTTGGATTCACGTAAAGATTGCCACTTTACGTGATGGATGGCCTTAGGAGAAGTAGATCTATGGTTTGGATCATCTGCATGGCTTGGAGCTAGTAAGTAACCCCAAAATACCATACATGATATATGTTTTATTGAGCTTTGTTAGAACAGCATGCTAGAGTTAGGCTAGGGATCTTCAGGATTTCATGATGTGTTGCCTGATTTACGATGCCTGCTAGCCTAGGGTTTCCTTGTGAGAGATTTCTAGTGTTCCTCTAGTAGTGAGGATAGAGCGTTGTTATGTGTGTTTTCTCTAGGGTGTTGTGGTAGTACTTCATACAAATATGGATAGGTGTGGAAGGTAGTATGGACCCGTACTATTGAAAGCACAGGACCCATACGCGTATCAGGGAAACCATGACCTCTAGGATTGGGTTGAGAGTTGGTTCCCGGGATAGTGGGAAGTGTCTGAGATTTTGGTGGTTTATTTTCTGTATGGAGATTTCAGGGCATGCTGGGAGTGGATCCGGGTCAGGATCAGGAGCAGGAAAGGGAGTTCCAGGCGGGTCCGTACCGCTCGAGGTTGTCGGTCAGATGAGTACGCGCGAGTTGGATGCGAGGATTCGTGAGATCCTGCATGATGAGGTTGCCGCATTGTTCCGGGCCGAGCTGCCGGAACTGTTTGGTTCGATCAAGACCGCCATGGTGGAGTATTTTGATGAGCACTATGCGGCTCTCACGGAGAAGACTGCCGCGGCAGCTACAACGGCTGTAGCAGCGGCATGGGGAGGAGCTAGTAGAGGTTTTCAGTATCGGGACTTCGATAATACGAAGCCTCCCACCTTTGATGGAGTTCAGGATCCAATCGTTGCTATGAGATGGTTATCAGACGTGGAGGGGTGTTTCTTTACGTGTTCATGCTCTGCTGATCAGAGGTTGAGGTGCGCTCTGAACCTGTTAAGGCTCGGGGCAAAGGATTGGTGGAGATTGACCACAGGGTCATACTCGGATGCGCAGAGGGCTGCGATTTCATGGGATCAGTTCAGAGAGATGTTCAGCACTCGTTATGTTCCGCAGGTCGAGAGGGAGAGGTTGGATCAGGAGTTCCTTGAGCTGAAGCAGGATTCGGAGTCGGTGATGGAAATCACCAGGATGTTTACTGAGAGGGCGATGTTTTGCCCTGAGTTCGCTTCGGAGCAGGCTCAGATGTCCCGATATCTGAGTATGCTAAAAAGAGACATCAGACAGTTTGTGTCCACGCAGAGGTGCGAGACCTTGTTGGAGTTGCAGGAGGCCGCCAGGCGACGTGAGTTAGAGATTGAGTTACAGTTGCGTGAGCTAAGGCAAGCTCCGGTTCAGTCGCAGTCGGCGACGAAACGGTCTAAGACTGTTGATTCCAGGATGGGAGATCAGGGCAGCCACATTTGTGGAAAGTGTGGGAGGGGTCACGCCGGAGTTTGTCGGTCCGGTGGTACATGCCGCAAGTGCGGAAAGGAGGGACACTATGCGAGGGATTGTCGGCAGTCAGTACTGGTTCGAGATTTGAGGATATGTTATCATTGTCATCAGGTTGGACACTTGAGGGTCAACTGTCCACAGCTTGCTGCAGGACCGGTGCAGGCTCCAGCACCGGCCACGTTGAGGATCACAGGTGGAGGTCAGGGTGGAGCGGAGCCCCCAAGTGCTTAGGGTCGTGCTTTTCAGCTTGCAGCGGAGGAGGTTCGAGCAGTGCTGGATGCAGTTGCGGGTATGTTTCTTTCTTGTTGTCTTGTTTATTATGATTATTGTGGAGTATCGTTTATCTGCTAGTCTCGTTGGGTGGTTTTCGTTTTGGTATCCGTTGTTCCTTGAGGGTTTGGCATGGGTATGTGTTAGTATTTCGGGTTTTCACTGGTATCTTTTGTGAGGATTATTGGTGAATGCGGCGTTGGTTTGAGTGTCGGGTAGCATCTACAGTCTGAGGAATGGATATTTAAAGATTGGGTTCCTTTCGAGCGGGATGATCGGTGTGGAAATGTGTTTTTGCGAAGGTTGCTAGTGCTAGTGGGAATCAGTCTGAGTATAAGTGTTGGGTCTTGTGCAAGGTTATCTTGGGAGGTCGGTGATAGCGACCGGTGGTTGGTAGTTAGTGCCCTAAGTGGGGGAGAATTGGAGAATTCTCCGGAGGATCGACGAGTATGAAAAGTTGTTTGCCTGCATGTAATTCAGTAGTGGCTCGGTCAGCCAAGGGCATTGGTTGGTATGAGCAAATGGCAGGTGTGCGGGGCGGGATACAGACCAAGAGCTTGATTGTGCAGGACCTGAGATCAGGCCGGGATCGAGTACGTATGATAGAGATAGAGTTCGGAACCCCTAGGGGGCTAGAACAGTATGCATGGGAGGTTTTCCCGGAGAGGTAACTCGGGATGTTGATTGCTAGTTGAGCGGTCCAGATAGACTGAAGGCCAATGGGCGTACCAGTCAGGCCGAAGGCTCGGTGAACGGTCTAGCTAGACTGAAGGCCCTGGAGGGCGGTCCAGGTCTGCTGAAGGTTATGAGAGTGGTCCAGTTTGACTGAAGGCCTGGTAAGGCGGTCCAATCATGTTGAAGACTCTGCATGTGTCGTTAGATCGGTGCGAGGTAATGGATTGAGTATGTCGCGATATGTTAGCGTTGCAAGGTCTGGCCTCGGATATTAATCGCAATCAGTGGAAGTAGTGCATGGACTTGAGAGTCTTCTCGGGTGGATTCAGAGTATGTATGGCGCATGAGATAGCGGTTACGCTATAAAGAGGTGGTGTAGCGTTGGGTGAGCACCGTGGTTCTTGTCGTGGTGACGAGGCGGTCAAGTGGTTTTCCTT